TAAAGAAGGAGGTAATGTCATAAAGTATGCAGCCCCTATTATTTTCCTTTTCTCACCATCTCTATGCCCTTATTCGTACGATACATCATTCCATCACTTTCACATCCCACCACTGTTAAACCCTCATCACTTTACTGATCCACCTGATGCCCTTCATTGATTACTGATCCATCTGTTACCCTTCTCCTTCTACCGGCTTCTGCCATCTTCTTTACTCTTGAACTGTACAGTATTACATTGTTATTTCTCACAGATCAGATTGTGTATATAAAGCCAGCTCCACACTACCTGGTCCCTTATCTTGACCTCTATGTCATTATCTTGGGACCAGGTATGTGCTTACTTACTAGTATTTATGGCTACAATACTTAATACAACTCTGTCATTATCTTGGGACCAGTCTGTCTATGCTCTGCTCAGTTGCTCTGCCTTAACGTTTGCTCAGTTGCTCCACCTTAATGTTTGCTCAGTTGCTCTGCCACACCACTTGCCCTGTTACTCTGTACCATTGCCCCGCTTAGTCACTCTGTCTCTGATACTTTGTGACATATGGCAGTAAGCAGGGAGGACACAAGTGGTATAAGAAACTTTGTCAGGAAACTATCAATGAAGGTTTTACTGTCTCTGAATCTGATCCATGTGTTTTCTACAAATACAAAGGTGACAGATATCAGATTTTTGCTACCACTACTGATGATTCCACTATGGTTACTGACAATGATGAATCTATGGTGGAGCTCAAGGCCTCCCTTGACCGATGTTGACACACCTAAATTTTGGCTAGACGTCCATGCAGTGAATTGTGACACTTTCATGCGTAGATTTGTATCAAGAGGACTGTAATTGAGACCCAGATTGACAGTCAAAGTCAATACTGAATCAGTCTAATAGTTGAAGGGACCCTATACTCATACTACCGCAAGTTGGTTAGTTTACCCATCTCCGATACTACCTTCGGATAAAAAGTCTACCTGTTTGTCAAGCAGGATTATACCAGAATCAGACTATATCTGAAGGATGATCATTTACATATGACATACCAAGGGTATTCTTATTGGACCTCACACTGGTAGGAGTTTGGAAGAACTTCCTCAAGTGACCATAAGCGAAGGATTGACTCAAAATGACTTTCTAAAACTCAAGAATTGTCAAATATACACTCTAGAACAAGATCATGCATTAATCCAAAAGACTGTGATTGAGTCTAATAGACCACTCAGGTTGCCTGGTTGGGGAAAATGACTAGAAAGATGATCAAGGTACTGCGAGGCTCCGAAGACATATCAAATGAATTTCAGAAAGTCCTGACATAGAAAATATTAAAGAATACAATTAAATAAATACTATGCACAACTCCCTTGATAGAGTATAGGCACAATGGGTGTCTATTGAAAGCAAGAAGTAATTATTTTAATCCAGATGAATCAGATTGATAGGATTAGAAGCGAGGAGAGCTAATTTGCCTCCGGACGAGGTGACAAACAATTGAAGGATGTGTTGAGCATCAATGACCAGCTGAACACCATTTGAGTCATTCTCCAAAGCAATTAAATTAAATGAATACTGAAGCACCTACCTATGTTTGGAGGTATGCTAGAATCTTGGAACCAATATGGACCAAATAAGAACAAATTAAATCAAATTAAATGATATATGACCTATTGTAGAAGTTTCCTTGCGGTTCCAAACGTTTATTTTATTGAATTAATTGTACTGTGCAATTCTATATCCTGTATGTATAAATAGTGGTCAGATGTATCTGGAATGCAAGTGATTTTGGGACGACGTTGCAGTGCTAATCCGTAAAAAGGAAAAACACACTCCTGCTAGACTGAAACCTCTCCGCTAGCAGCCATTCAGGCCCGGCACTTGTGAGTATAGGAACATTGTGTTCTGCTCCTTGTGACTGCGAGAAGTTATATCCAGCTGTTGGGTATTCTTCGAACTTAGGATCTCTCATTGATCTTAAGGGCAAATCACGCTGTGTGGTTGTACCAGCACATAGTTCTAGCCCTCTATAGGGGTCTGTGTGTTTCTGTTTTAATTTACTTTGATTCAAACCCCCGATTCTTGATATACCCATATCAATATCACTAAAGCACAAATCGTGCTGAATCTACCTTAATCAAAGGAATATACCGGATCCTTAGAACGATTCAAATTGATTGATTGAAGCTTTTCCTTAGCTCTCAAAAGCTTTGCGGAACCTTTGACAACACTACCCCTTGCTATTAAATAAATTGGATAGCAGTGAACTCACATATTGTGTATTAGATTGGTTGGTTGAAATACCCATTTGATTCCTTCCTTTCTCTTTCACACAAAAACAAGACAAGCTCATTAACGTTTTGACATGAAGTTCATGGGACCAATTAGTTGGCCCTTTGGATTTGAAGTTACATGCGACATTGAGAAGACCATCACCCTCAGTCAAAAAGCCTACATTGAATGGATTATCAAACCTTTCGGCCAGGAAAATTCTCGTCCCATTGTCACTCTAATGGAACCCGGAATTGACTTATCCCCTGACTCACCTGCTGTGTCCAACACTCTCTTATCTCCAAGTGAACAAGCCACATATCGTGAAGCTGTAGGCTCTCTCATGTACCCAGCAAAGGTATCTTGTCCTGATATAGCACACACAATGTCGACAGTTGCATGCTACATGCAAGAACCTCACACAACTCACTGGACTGCGGTAATCCATGTGTACAGGTACCTTAATGGCACTACAGATTTTGCTTTAGTTCTTGCTGGAAAAGACTTGCCTTCACTGTTCCTCTTTTCTGATGCCAATTGGGGATCACATATGAACCGACACTCAATATCTGGCTATGTTTTGTACATTGGTGTTGGTCCAATCTCCTGGAGTTCAAAGAAACAACCTATTGTCACCCTTTCAAGTACTGAATGTGAATATGTCATGCTCACACCTGCCACCAAGGAGCTTATTTGGCTTTGACAACTCTTTTCAGAACTTATCTAACCTCTTTCCAAACCAACTACACTCTGCTGTGATAATCAGAGTGCTATCCAACTTTCAAAGGACTCTACTTTCCACGCCCATACCAAACATATTGACATTCCATTCCATTGTATTTGTCAGGTCGTGTCGAATGGGAACAAGTAAGTATTCAATATGTTCCTACAGACAACATGATTGTGGACAAATTTACATTACTTAATGTCCTTGATTCTTCCTCTATTAACTAGCCTTTGGCATGAGGAGGAGTGTTAACATCATCCGACCTTCAAGGCTACATACCTGTACATATAGATATTGCTCTACTTTACTTTATGTTACCTTGCATCCTAATTGCTCGCTTGTATACTAACAGATCTCAGTGTTCTACTACCACTGAGATGTGAGTACACTCATCATAACACTCTTTCATACCTAGTTTATTGACTCTCTTTTAGACATTATTCACTCTTTTATTTAGGTATACATTTTAGTGTTTTACTACCACTGAGATACATTATTCACTCTTTTATTTAGCTTTGTTGTCCATCATTTGCACCTTCAGTACCTTGTCATGAATCCCTATCCTTGGTCCACTGTGCAAACAATGGTAAGGAAGATGAGCTACTAATGCAACTCAGCGGTAATGATAGGAAAATGTATGATTGGATTTGTCAAAGTCAAAAGTAATGTGGGGGAGATTTCAAAAATAGAGTACAATAATGTGGGAAGTAACCTTCCACTCTTGTTTGATGAACAAATGCACCCTCCCTGTCTAAGAATGGAGCTCATTGTGCACGTGAAGACTCCTCTCCAAAGATTAGTGATCAGTTGATGCTTTTGTCTACCAGTACAGTGTTGGACTCAATGTTACACCTTTGTACTATAGGCAATGCTGCTTGAATGGAGAGTAAAAGTCTGTGAAGGGTTAATAAAAATGTGAGTAAGGATAACTGTGATAGGGATATGATTGCATAGTGTGTGACAGATGGTAAGAATAGCTTTGATCATCTGTCAGTGACCAGCTCTAGTAATGGGTGTCACCAGGTGTCACACTCAAGAAAATCTCAGAGGGCAGAGGGCAAAGCAATGAAGGAGTTCAAAGCAAGGTTCTGAACTAGACCAGGTAAAATAGACAAAAAGCTAAGGAAATACAGCAAGTTACTACAGCTTATATATGAGTAAGTAACCCTCTGCCCTAGTAATGTCCAATGCTCTGTCAGCATTAAACAAGCAATGTGTAAGTAATGAAAACTCAATCATGCTGTATGTATGTTGCAAGACTACTGCATTTAATATAATGAAAAGAGCATGTTGTATCAGTAAGCATGAATCATGGCTCAGGTGACAATGCAAGACAAGATAAGACAAGATATGAGATAAGACAACACAAAGGATAAGACAAGATACAGAAAAAGATAAGATGAAAAGAAGCAATCATAACAGTCACTTTCCAGTCTATTTCCGACCTCGGAACCTCTATAATTGCTAACCTGTAGGCATGGTCTTGTCACATACATATTACTGCCAAAGTATTTACATACCCTATTATTCAATGAGTGCTCTACTTTTGCCAGAGTGGTTAAGGTGATTGTATGTCTGGCTTGTCCAGGGCTGTTGCAGCAAGGTATGTCTTTTGCTCAAGCACAATACTGGTTCCACAGAGACTATGACACAGCTTTATGCCTTATAGCTGGAATGCATTCTAAACAACTCATAACATGCAGAGATAGTGTGGGAAAAGTATTTGATCGGACGGAAGCAAACACAGGAGGTCAAAGCTGGTTATATCAGGCCAAAATTAGTTAACTAAGCCCGTGTCCGCCGTCCACCAGTCCCTCCTCGAGTTTGTGCGATGAAAATTCTGAATCTGTTATAGGAGAAGCATGACATTGCATGATAAGGAGGACAAAAGAAGCTGCTTGACTCAAGCTAAAAATCGGTCAACAAGATCCAAAAGAGTTCAAACGACTTCCGCAGCGAGAATGTTTGTTTCTTTGTTCAAGATTCTGTTATGACATTATAACACGAGTGCCAGGTCACTTTGCCGGAGAGGTTAACGGGATCGCCTGCTAGTCTTAGTATCCCTTCAAAGGTCGTATGCTGTTATGAAGTCAAGAGCGGTTGGGCTTTGCCCGCGTGTGTTCGAATCGCACAGGTGACGAATTTTTGCATTTTGACTTGACTGATCCTGACATTGGTCGGCATCCCCTCGTCCTGAAGGCTCGAATATTTGATGAGGTCATTGGAAAAACAAATTTCGCAGGTGTGGTCATCTTTGACCACGCCGGCGAACCGATTTTGCAAGTATCACCTAATAGCCAGACGTCTCCAGACGTAGACTTTTCCTGAAGCACTGTCAATCGATCCAGGTATCTATCTCTGTGGGTAATAAATGGAACAACCGATCGGGACAAAAATTGCATGCTGATGTCTTCCCATTTGCTTATCCTTCTTCTACATCTTCTGAAGAGTACACCCCCATCAGCTCTATCCCAGTTATCAGCACTGAATCAGTCGCACACGTTGTGGTCCAGTATTATGATTGAATATTGAGAAATGATTTTACCAATCCCTGAAAGAAGGAAATTTCGATTGAACCTCCCGACTACTTATTTGATTGAAAGTGAACAGCCAATCGTGGGATTCACTTGGTGGTTATATAGCCAATTCGCCCGACTGGTGATTGAAATGCAAACTTGAATGTAGTTCAGAGTGAGCCACCTGAGTAAGACATGCATAGGGAACTGTCCGTATGTGCTTCTTTCCTCGGCCAGGTGGAAAGAATTCGGGAAGGCTCAGCCACATTATGGGGATGGCGACAATAAAGGCTGTTGTATCTACAAGGAAAGGATGTTTATTTGTACAGCACTATGTCGAAGCAAGAGTTGGGTCGCATGTGAGAATACTTAAATAGCGGAGTCGAGGGCGCGATTTTGACAAGACGGCGACGGACGTTGAGAACCGTTGAGGACCTGTTGATGAAAAGCTCTATTGATTCACCTGTGAATGATTGAGAGCAAGGACTCACATCAGTAACTCAACATGATACTACCCTCCTGTAATATACAATTCAGAAGCTGTGGTACTCAAAGGTCTTGATGCCTCTACATTGCGCAACGCCTAGCCTCTTTCAACTCGGCCGACAAAAACATCTGAAAGAGAAATCAACAGGAATCAAAGGATATTTCTTTGGAGTTTCAGTTCTGCCGATGTCTTCCGAGAAGCCCGGAGCTTGGCCGGATAACTTCGGAAGCGATTTCTCATAAGCTGCACCGGTAACTGTCCAACGAGCTCCACGACCTAGTCTCTTCAAAACGACCGACCAAGAAGCAACGCCAGGACCCCGCGCATCTGCGGGGCGAAGCTATGCAGTCTGGCAAGACCAAATGGACTGCAAACAGCATGATCGGTGAGTAACTCCTTCGTGTGCTTTCATTAACATTTTTTTTCTTATCACACAAGTTCTATCCAGCTGGCGCGGGTGGAGGCTTTGTTGCAAGTGTAGCGACTTGTCCTCTTGATGTCGTCAAGACGAAACTTCAGGCTCAGAGGTTCGTCCAAGGTCAGGTTGGTTATGAGGGTATCGCCGGTGAGTCGCACTTCTCCTGTTGAGCTTTGACGGTTCTTTGTTCATTAAGCTTTGAAGGGACAATCAAAACAATTGCAAAGTATGATGGACTGAGAGGTTTCTATCGTGGTCTGGGACCAACAATCCTAGGATATCTTCCAACTTGGGCCATATATTTCGCCGTCTATGACGGTATTAAGTCTGCTTTCGGCGAAGCACCTCTAGGTGTGAACTCCAAATCTAAGAATTGGATATACCCTGCCGCTCAGGTTAAGGGCTATCAACCTGCCATGCGCGAACATCCTTGGTCACTACATATCCTCTCAGCAATGACAGCAGGAGCATGCAGTACTATATGTACAAATCCGCTCTGGGTTATCAAAACACGGTTTATGGTGCGTTGGCTTTCATTTGTTCGATTCTTTTCCTTACATTCGATCCACAGACGCAATCCCGGGACGAAGTGCGCTATCGACATACTCTCGATGCCGCACTCACTATCTATCGCAGTGAAGGCATTCGCGCCTTCTACCGAGGACTCTTGCCAAGTCTCCTAGGCATCGCTCATGTAGCAGTACAATTTCCACTTTACGAGCAACTTAAGATCTGGGCACGTACGTTTTGTTTCCCCGCAGTCTTTTGCATTATGTCCTGAATTTGGTTTCGAAAGAAGGTGACTCCGAGGAACCTCTGACCAGCCGCACCATTCTTCTATGCTCTGCTTTAGCCAAGATGACTGCTTCAGTCACTACCTACCCTCATGAAGTCATACGAACACGTTTACAGACGCAACGTCGTCCTCTAGCGGACGATCTATCATCAGACGGAATGATAAGACGTCATACTGGGCGAGGAGTAATATACACCACAAAGAAGCTTATTCGTAAGGAGGGCTGGACGAGTCTGTATAAAGGATTATCCATCAATCTCTTACGAACTGTACCAAACAGCGCAGTCACCATGTTAACGTGCGTCGTCCCTCTTACCTTAGTATCCGTGGTCCTTACACTAGCCGGGTAGGTATGAGTTGTTGATGAGACACCTCTCTTCACGGACGCCTTGACTGTTCTGCCTATTTGAATATCACCTTCCTTACTTTTCAGACTACATCTATTAGAACCGTGCAATATCCAGGCTTTGTAATATCTACAGTTTCGTCATTTCTTTGTATCTTTTTTACTCTCCTTATTCTATGCTCTGACTTTTAACACAATGCATGCTTGTAGCCCATGAAGTTGAACTCTGTATTGTGATTGTAAGCATTTGACTTCGGTGCTCCTGCCTGTCTTGGTGGTCAAGTGATTGTCGGAGAAAGGTCCTGCAGTCCCTCACGAACTCGCTTATCAAGATTCGGAAGAGGTCCGCTCCCTACGAAACTCGAGACTTAAGCATGAAATATATTCACAGCTTCGAGATCGTTCTTCTGTTCGGAGCAATGCTATTCTCCGCCGCAAACGCAGACCACCATCGCAAAACATATTCTTTTTCTTCATCACCAACCATCTGTGATAACTCCCGATACAATGCCAGTATCAGCTCCGTTCGGTTTTGATCTTGCGTCGTTGAGGATTCTATATCTTCAAAATCTTTACTTTCTCTATCGACCCGCAAAACACCGTCGATTTCTTCAAAAAAACGACCGAGAAGGGATAACGGGAGGGCCGAGACGCATGCAATGAGGGTGATGTGGAGACGATGTTTCTGCTCGAGGTCAGGAATTTCTTTTCCAAGACTTTGTATGGCACTGAGTAGTTCTGAGATACAGTACCACGCGAGAGTGTATTGAGATAGTTCATCGCTTTCGTATCTTGTAGGGGAAACAGGACTACAGGCCGATCGAACGAGTGCCGTATACGCGAAACGCAATTGCGATGTAGACAGTTTGCTTTCAGCTGAGTTCTGAAGTGAGGTGTCAAGACACTGGGGCATTTAGTATTACTTGAAAAAACTTACCTGAATTAAGCATCTTGAGTAAAACGGTATTAGTCGGGTACAGAAATCTGACAACGATAGATCTTCCTCCTCCCGAGCTTTGCCTTTCCCGTCTGTCGATCCCGAAACTCCTGGCCCTTTTAGATCAGCATTTGTCGCATTCGCTGCGAGTATAGCCAAGACCACCGAATGTGCCGACTCGAACGTCTCCCGCGTCAATTGATCCGTGAGTTGCTGTGTCGTATCCGAGTTTGGACCGGAAGAGGGTGCTTCAGACGTTCCAGGTGGCGAATGACGCAGATTGAGGTTTGGCTCTACGAGGTTCCATACAGGTCCTTTGAGATACTTGATGCTAAGCACAGGAACAAGTTGTTCAATACATGATAAAGCGAAAGAAATTTTCGCTATATTAATGATCTGTTCAACCGGAGGCTTCGATCCTGTTTCCACTACGGTCTGTGGATGCCCCAACTCCTGGGACCCAGGGTTTACTGATGGACGATGCGCCATCAGCTCGTCTACGAACCGCTCTGTTACATCTTCAGGCCCGCTAGCGAGTATATCTAAAGCCAAATAAGCAGCCTTGCGCATCTCCTTGAACGATGCTTCCTCTCGGACTCCCATCGATGAGATACCGCCGAATTGCGAGACAACAAAAGATAGACGGAAGAGGGTGAGAAGGGTAGTTAGTGAGAGGGAAGCAGGAGATGATAAGGACGACGTGGGTGAGAGACGGTAGACAGCAGGTGGAATATAGAGGCATGCGGAGAGGACAGAGTCAGATATCATGATTATGGAGAACAGCAGGGTCTTGAGCGTAATCCAGGGTCCAGAAGACGGGTCTACTGCCATCGTGGCTGAGGGGATGTTTACCGACAATAATTGCGGTATGACTCCCACAACCTGTACTGCTATTTCCTGCAAACGATTCAAAGTCTCTTGGGAGGAAGAAAGCCCGTCTCGAGGACGAGAGCTTAGTGAGAGAGAAAGCACGAGTGCCTCTAGACGACTAAGGGAAGCAATATATGGTTGGAGTGTTTCCGAAGCTGTGGTCTGGTGCAGCAAGTCGCCTTCATTGAACGCCTCTGTGATACATGACGTCAAAATCTGTGAAAGCGCAGTAAGGGGAAGTGCTTTGAGCTTTGATGAAGCGACGAGTGGAAGAGATGGTGCAGCAACGATAAGGGAGAGTGTAAGAAGAGAAATGGACGGATGTGAGATTTGATCTGTTTCGTTGACGATAAATCGTGATTCTAGATAAAGCGATGTCAAACGGAGATTGGACCGCAGGTGACAAAAAAGTAATACAAGGCAAACTTGGTTAGTGCTTGCTTACAAGACGGCAGGGATTAAACTGACCTTGAAATTCGGAGAAGGCAACCGAACGTGCAAATTGAAGGAGGATACAAATGTCAACAAATTAAACGCGTTGGAAGCGAGGCGTAGAATATATAAGTAGATGTAAAGGTTTAGTTCAACGTGCGACAAAAAGGTTACGCCACATTAAGTTGATTAACTGACCTGCAGGAGCATCTACTCAATAATGTTCAAAGGCACAGCCCACGGAATGGGTGGTTAGTGTGCACCAGTGGGCATCATCCGCATCGCAATGCATCGCAAACGAGGCAAGGACCCATAGCGAGATTGTGACAAGTTGATGT